AAAAATGGTATCGGAACATCTCTGTAATATTAGACTCAGAAGTCTTTGGATCTGCAACAGGAATCAGCTCTACTTTAACCTCTGTAGTTGTCATCTAAAACATGCAGGGCTCTACTGATTAACCCATTGACTGACTTTATAGGAATGACGCTGCAGATGAGACCAGGTGTGTGTGTGTACCTGGAAGAGGGCAGGAGGTTGAGGACGCTGTTGAGGACGTAGTGCAGCTCTGCGTGGCCTTGCTCCACCAGCAGCACCACGGCATTGCAGCAGGCTGACCGCACCAGAGCGCAGTCGCTGCAGCACTGCTGCCACAGAGTCTCCAACGCTGGACCCTGACACACACCAACAACACACGACTCAAGATTGGAAGCCAGATTCAGCTTAAAAGGGACCAATAAAGTTATTCTGTAGATAAAGAAGGTACCGTCCTTCATACTTTACAGTTCATATTCAGGGTTGGAAACGTAGTATTTTAAACAACAACAAACCTGCCCTACTCTGCCTCTAATTGGGTAGTGTTTATTGCCTTTGTTGGTTCGGGTTGGAAAAACTGTCCTTGGAAATGTCAAACAAGTAGGTATAAATAAGAACAATGAACAATGCCACTCCTCGAATCAAATAGTCACCTTTCATATCCATTTGGTTTAAAATTGAATAAACCCTTACTGTATTAGATCATGCCAAAACATCTTGTTAAAACAGGAAAAACTTCAAAGCAAAAAAGCCATTCCATGGCGCTTTTAAGCCACAAAAAGCATTATTTTGATAAGAAACTAACCTGGGTGGAAGACTGCGTGATTTGCCCATTTGGCCCCTTCTCCTTTAGCACGGCAGCAACAAGATTTCTCACTGTCTGGAAGACAAATAGCAGACAAACATGTAAACTTTTAATTTCAAAGCCTCTACAAGGAACTTTCATTTTGGGTTGATTCTGGTGTCCATTGTGGACCAAAGCGGAAGTGTTTCTACCAAATCCAACCCAGTACCAGGCATTAAGAAAAACTATACAGATATAGCCAATGTCCTCGCTGATTATCTTGTTTATTATTGTAGGTCATATAGAGACTGTTTCATAACCAGTTAAAAACTCCTTGTAGTACGTTTAAGAAAGGTAATGTTTTAGAGATATTACTATTGGCTTGGTTATCAGGTCTTTTTAGCATCAAACTTTCTGTGGGTTTGAAAGGTGAGCACCTGCCATGAAAACTGGAGTTGCTCACCATTTTGTAATGGAGCAAACTACAGCCAGCTTCAAGTCGCAGAGATATTTAACACACAAAAAGATTTTGGGTGGAAGTGTCAGGCAATAAACACAAGCACCAAGTTTGGAACACTTACCAACACCTCCAAAGCCCAACGATTAACTGATTATCTTGTTTGTTTAGCTTGTACACAAACAGAAATCTATAAATGACATGTAATCATGCATCACTGCTTTTCTTACAACATGTGGCGCACAAAGTCCACGCTTGGCAAGGAAATAGTGGAGGATGAATGGGGTTATCACAGAACTTGTACCAAGGAGACTATCCCCAGTGAGACACTGCCTTTAGACTTAATTGACTCATTATTTGTGTTCTTTAAAAAATAATTCACTTTTCAGTTGCTTTTTGATTAGTTTTCAGCACCAAACTTGCTTGGTTAGGTTTAGCAAAATATCATGGGTTGGGTTTAAATAGATCCTTTCTGGTGCCTGTCCAATCGTAGCACTCGAATGCTACACAGGGCGTGTCTTGGTGTAAAAAGCAATGGGATTTATAATAACCGTAAATGACAATTTGTGGTTTTAGGGGGAATTAGGTGATGAAACAATTTCTTGACAAACAACAGACAGTGATTATCCTTCACCAGGAAAGAAAGGTGTTTACAAGAGGGGAATGAAAATGTGGATTGAAGTGAAAAATGTACTCATTTTGAGTCTACTGAGTTTTTTGTTTAATTGTGAATTTTTGTCTATTTATGTGTTTGATCCCTGTTGTATTTGTATGTTCTGTATAAATGGAAAACATATGTGTGAGATGTTAAATGCTAATGGGAGAATGGTGAATGGAATCAAAAAACCAGACAGTGAGCTGTTTCTTGAATTCTTGTTGTCATAGTGATGTTGGCAGGTTTGGAGATGTTTGCGCACAGAAACCAAGATAAAAGGTGTTCATAGTGAGCTTTACAGGTGTTGGTAGGTGTACTTCGAACTTTGGACAGAGCCAGGCTAGCTGTTTCCCTGCTTCCCTTCTTTATGCTAAGATAGGCTTAAATCCTGCCAACTCCTTTAACAAACTCTGAACTGAACCCTTTGAACACATTATTAATGGTTTTAGTTTAAACTAAGAACTTAAACTAAGAGTGAAACCACCCACTTGAAAATGGAACCAGGTATCGGAACCTTACCCAACTGTGGAATTTCCGCTACCAGTGGGGTAACTACACTGAGACTAGAGAGGGATTAGAAACAACAACAGTCACATGAGTGGAGAAAGGAATGAGCAACACAGAAGAAGGGGAGAAACATTTCAATCAATGAATCAGTAGCTCACCTGGGCTTGTATGACAGGGCTGGGGAAATCAAAGCGTATTTTCAAACTCTCCGTCATATCTGCCGGTCATGCCTGAAAGCAGAAAGAAACCCCATTAGAATAAGTGAACAAAACTTAATGACAGTAAACAGTGTTATCATTTCTGTCCTCTCTTCCGAGAATTCAATGTTTTGTCAGACAACACCACAAAAGAAAACATTTCCAGGGAGAAAACCTGGTGCTAGCCTTCTATTTAACTCAAGAATATCACATATCAGTGGTGCTGAATTCAGCCTTTGAAACAAAAGCTAAGTGATGCAGCCACCTGTTGCTTCGTTCAAGAAAGAAGCACTGCTTGGAGGTATTCGGGGACTGACCCTTTGAAAGCTGATCCCTGCCATGTGTTATCAAATTATTGGCCTGCAGCCATGACATAATTTTGCATTAAATTATTCACAAGTCATCGGGACACCGCCCCGCTCACTAACTCACAGGTTGCTAAGCAGACGAGCGGCCCATCTCAGGTTGTCTCATTAGTCCCGACAATATGCTGTACAGGTGCTGACCACCAGCTGTCTGAGGCCAATAGACCACAGCTGCTGCTTCAGAAAGGAAGATTTGACTGTTTTAAATAGGACTGGGGATAGAATATTGTATATATGTCTGAGTACATGTCTGGAGGGGATCTTTAAATTCAAATAAAATTTTACCAATTTTGGAAAGACAACTCATTCTACAAACTAGTTAAATAAGTTAAAGGAAAACAATAGCCATGTTTTATGTGGAAGTCCAATCAAGTGTTGATGGTAACTGAAAAATAGCTGCAAAATCTGTCCTTCTTCATTTGATGCAATTCAATTCAATTCAATT